CTGGACTGACTGAGCCACCCAGGTGGCCCCCTGTTATATCTTTTGAATTACTATCATGTGCATGTGTAAGGCTTTCTCTATTTAATTACAAAGTATAATATAAAGTCCTGAAATAGAATGGTCTATCCTGCATTGTCCAATACGTTGCCACTAGCCACACGTGGCTGTTTAAATTGATCAAAATTAAATACAATGTAGAGTTCAGTTCCTCAGGTGCACTAGTCACATTTCACCTGCTCAAGAGCTACATGTAGCTAATGGCCACCATCCTGGGCAGGGAGCATAGAGAACACTTTCATTAGCACAAAAACTTCTTCTGGCCAGTTCTGGACTCTAAGCTAATTAAAAGGCCCACAGCAGGGGCGCCTGGGTGGCTCAGTTGGTTAAGTATCCGACTTTGGCTCAGGTCATGAGCTCACAGTTCATAAGCTCAAGGCCCGTGTCAGGTGAACTTGAGAACCATTCCGGGCTCCACACTCTCTCTCCCTCTCTCTTTACACCTTGTGGGATTCTCTCTCTCTCTCTGCTCCTCACTCACTCCCACTCTCTATCTCTCTCAAAAATAAACAAATAAGTAAGTAAGATACAGGAGTTCAATTTATTTAAAAAAAAAAAAAAAAAGGCCCATGAGAGAGAGAGCGACCAAACCTTAATTGTTTCACATGATAAGGGAAGAAACAAATACAAATATGAAGGACGGCAGCCTGCCTCCCTCTCTCTCTCTCTCCACAAGCTACACAGGCTGCCTACTAAGATAACAAAGACTGGGAGAGCTCCTGCCTTGTGTGACTATCCAAAGGTTAAGTCAGTTTGACAGGAACTTCAGTCCTTGATCAAGTCCAGCATTCTAAGACAAAAGATAAGGATTTCCATTCTGGAACCATACATGTGCATAAACTGGAAATGCATATCTCCTTTGTGGCTCTGGGAGAGGTACTGATAAGAGGAGAACTCTGTCTCTCTAGGTTCCAAAGTGCTGGCAACTGGTTCCCCTGGGTGTTCTGGCTCAAGAACCAGACAAGCCCACCACTCCCTCCCCTGCTTCTACCAGCTAAGGCAGATTGTCGGGCAAGGAAATTCAGCCTAGCCTGACTGGTCCTGTGGGCAGGGAATCAGAGAACCAGATAATCCTGTTACCCCGATTGCCTGGAGAAGGGAACACAGTCAGTGGGGAGAAAGTTATGCAGTTCAATCAGGACTTCTGCTGGAAGGGAAGTAGCTCATGTGTCTTGCAGCTGTCTTCTAAAAAATTGTATCAGTCAAGAAACAAGCAATAAAATACGCAACGTATGCCCTGACCTAGCCTAGCATCTTCAAAACACCACTGCTCCGGTTAAGATGTAGACTATGGTGATGGTCTGAAATAACTGCCTGCCAAGAAAGCCCAGGGGCGCCTGGGTGGTTCAGCCGGTTAAGCATCCAACTTGGGCTCAGGTCATGATCTCATGGTTGCAGGTTTGAGCCCTGCGCCAGGCTCTGTGCTGACAGCCTGGAGCCTGCTTCAGGTTTCATGTCTCCCTCTCTCTCTGCCCCTCCCCCACTTGCACTCTGTCTCTGTCTCTTAAAAATGAATAAACGTTAAAAAAAATGTTGTTGTTGTTGTTGTTTTAATTTTTTTTTAATGTTTACTTATTTTTGAGAGAGAGAGAAAGCATGAGCAAGGGAGAGGCAGAGAGAGAAGGAGCCACAGAATCTGAAGCAGGATCCAGGCTCTGAGCTATGAGCACAGAGCCCAACATGGGGCTCAAACTCACAAACTGTGAGATCATGACCTGAGCCGAAGTTGGACGCTTAACGGACTGAGCCACCCAGGCGCCTCCAAAACTTTTGTTTTAAACAAGAAACTCTACAGAAATACAAGACAGTCTCCTGCTGGATAAATGAAGAGCCAAAGTCACTTGACCTTTGATCTCCAAAGATCCCAAAGCCTTCAGGCTCTCAGGGAGTCCAGAACAAATTTTTATTCCAGCACCTCTCTTACAGATTAGTGCAAATGCATGCACTGTCATCAGCT